ATTGTATCGGAAATGGTAATACACGATGACGCAAATCGGAACGTTAAGGGTCGAATAGTATCAATGTGTTGGGTAAGAACCCTTAAAAATTTTGTGTACAAACTACGACGCAATTCCAAGCGGTACTTTGGTATTGTACGGACCACACCGATGAATCGACTTCCAAATAAGATTTTAAATATTAGTTTAAAAATACAAATGCTCTAGGTTATAATTATTATTTATGGTTGGTACGAGTACCTTTTAAGCAATATAATATTGCACGATTTTTTTATTTTACCTCGTCAATAAGTTTTACCTGTTTTGCAAAGCACAATTGAAAGTTACCCCACTAGTAAACAACTACTTCCCTTACATTTAACGTTGAGCCCTTATGAGTAACCCCGAAGTTGATAAGGTTAGTAATTAACGTTGCATTGCAGCTGGTAGCGGACAGCCCAATTATAACTAGTAACAATCAAGTAGTTATTGTAGTTGCGTGAGACCCGGCCTCACCCACACACGAACAGAGGCAATTCAACTGGGACAATGGTACAATAGCCTGACTGTTGGCGCAGAAAACTAACCAGCCAGACAGGACTGTACTATTGACATTTGGAGAGGTACTGATGTATACTGTTTGGACCAGAGGTATTAAATTTTATATTCAAGAACATAATTGGATGGGCCATCCCATAGCTACCATAAAAAATTCGTTTGTTTCACTAAGGTGTTGTTACTGTGATAGTGGCATAGGATGCTACATTGTACAATAAATGCTGTACGTTTAGTTTGATTTGATAAAAAGTTGGCGTATTTGACATAAATCAGCAATTAACATATTGCTATTTTTTTGCTATTTTATTGGTATTTTTTTTTCTTAAGCTGGCCTCTAAGGCTGTAGTTCTAATTCTTGTTATGGTGCAATGTTTTTTTTAGGTATTATTTTTTAAATAGGAAGATACTCCTTTTAGGCGTATCGTCCTTATGTATAAGCTAAAGATAATCTGTCTAAGGCATGCTTCTCTCCGGGAAGGTATGGGGGTTTTAGTGAGTGGGAGAAAATTTCGCGCCGTTCCGGCCAAACCTCGCATGCGGGGTTGGTTCGGCAGATTGGCCACAACCTAAACCCCAACTCTCACTTGTTAGCTGCGGAGAGCTACCTTCTGCCACTGGGTGTTGGTCCACCTACAGAACCAAGTGAGGGGGGCCCTAGACTAAGGTGTAATGCGATCCGTGCCAAGAGTCTTGTGGCACTGGGGGCCTAATATTCAGTGTCTTAACGGAGCCTTCTGGGAACCAGGGGTAACCCAGTCGTACACACCCCTTACCTCTCTAATCGGGTCACTGGGGAGGTGGACTTAAATACCCGGTATTCGTGAGAACAATGTAGACAGTCTGACCCAAATGGAGGAGGAAGGTCTACTGAAATGTGACGATGACGACAAGCTCGCAGAAACCGGAAAGGAACGAAAAACGACTTTCCAGGGGCGAGTTGCAAAGATGGAGGATAGCGGATGCTTTAGCCAAAGGCGAAAAGGTGCTATCCAGAAGTGAGAGGAGTCTGGTGTGGGCTGCCAAGCACCCTAACTCTGCTGCCTGCAAAGCCAGTTCCTCCGGGAACTAGGATGCTGGGGAAAAGCAGAGTAAGGGTGGTATCCCCAAAGCTGACCCTAATGAAGTCTCCAGGAAGAAAGGTGGAGGCTGTGCTGACGCAGCCACAAAGGATTGGCTGGTCAAGCAAGTTCAGGAGCTGACACCTTTCAGGGAAATCTCGCTACGGCTTGCCCCAGCCAGAGACCTTGTGAAAGCTGTGAAGGTATATTTATGTGCCCAGCCCTACAAGGTCTGCGTATGAGATCCCTCGTACGAAAAACGACTTTCCAGGGGTGAGTTGCAAAGACGGAGGATAGCGGATGCTTTAGCCAAAGGCGAAAAGGTGCTATCCAGAAGTGAGAGGAGGCTGGTGTGGGCTGCCAAGCACCCTAACTCTGCTGCCTGCAAAGCCAGTTCCTCCGGGAACTAGGATGCTGGGGAAAAGCAGGGCAAGGGTGGTACCCCCAAAGCTGACTCTAATGAAGCCTCCAGGAAGAAGGTGGAGGCTGTGCTGACGCAGCCACAAAGGATTGGCTGGTCAAGCAAGTTCAGGAGCTGAGTCCTCTCAGGGAAATCTCGCTACGGCTTGCCCCAGCCAGAGACCTTGTGAAAGCTGTGAAGGTATATTTAGGTGCCCAGCCCTACAAGGTCTGCGTATGAGATCCCTTGGCCTATTGATGGGAGATCAAAGGGAAGAACAGGTCACCATAGTCAAGAGGCTCTCGCGGTTCACCAAGGACCTGGGATTTTACGGAGAATGAGGACCTGTGAACGAGGGTGCACAATAAGCTGTTCTAGCTGCGATGCAATCCCATGGTAGCTTGTAAGCCTGGCCCTCTGTTAAAAAAAAAAAAAAAAAAAAAATGCTTCTCTCCGGGTTATGTAGAATGCATTTTGATAATCGGCGTCCATCTAACTTTTCCCTAAGGGGGCTGGTGGATCTGGGAGTAAATAACTCCCAGTAAAGAGGGAGGTCCGGGCATAATAGTCCTCGCCCGAATAATGGTTAAAGGTACAAAATGTTTGATTTTACACATTTCTTACCTAAACTAACAGAATTACTTCTTCGTATGCGTGAATTACTAACTTTTATGTTTTCACTGTACAACCTAAAAAAAGGTAGTTAGCTAATTAACTTGATTACTTCTAGAGGGAGGTCGAGCCCTCACCAATTAATTGATGGATGCCCATGATTGTATGTTTATTTGTTGTTGTAGTAAACCTTAAGTTATTAATTACGAATAGAGTTGTTCATTTGACAACCGTGACTAGCAATCTGGTGTTATCATGAAAGAATAAAGAATCGCCATAAAATAGAGGCGACCCCTAAAATAGAGGCGACTTCATACTTTACAGGTTTCACCAAACTGTATTTTAATAAAATATATCGATCTCCTCTATTATTGCCTTTTCTCAGGCACTGTGGATGCGATACTCCCTGGTGTGGATTAACGTCCACACGAGTGAGTACTACGACTATCCGCAGTAATATCGTAATACTTAGACCAATTCGTATATGCCAAGACAAAAATGTGGTTCGGATTCCACTATAAACTGTAGGTCCCTTAGTTGCCATTAGCTGTATGTGCTATTAATTAACAGCTGTGTCTAAGGAATATGTCGGCCTTAGTCACTAACAAGACTACAAGATCGCGCCACTCATCCTACACTCATCTCCATTCATACTTGGCTTAAAATACCGACTTTGTATGGTCGACATTTCATTGAAAAATTAAAAGTAAAGTAATAGCTAACAAAAGGTCGACGATAAACAAGACCAGTGTTTGGACCGTTACTTTACAAAAACGTAAAAACATGTTGGGTTGGAAACACAAATAAAAGATGAAGCAATTTCTGTAAAAGAGTCTAGACTGAGACTGCACTTCGAGGATGCGAACTGTGAAGCTGCCAATTGTGGCAATAACCGCCTTCGTATGTCAGAGGATTGCCAACTTTAGCGGCCATACGTCATCCTACATTGCATCTAAACTGGTTGTCCTAGTCCTGGCCAACATTGTCTTGCCTTTCTATGTACGCCTCTGCAAATGTGAAAATTGCTTCAATGTTATGAGATAATAGGTTCAGTTGTGATTGTTTAGTTTGGTTCCATGTATATTTATAGAGAATCATGTTAAGATAGTGTTTAATAAATGAACAAGTGAATTTGGAATCCGGAATTCCGCTAACACTGCGAACTCTGATAATTCTGTTTCTCGGAGTTTTTTTTTAATGCTGGTGAAGAGCAAACAAGGACTATTAGTTATAACATTCTCTCTGTTGAAATTACACTTTATGATAAACAGTGTAACTGGTTGGAATCGATCACAATTATTGTAAAAGAGTTTTTATAAATATATCTATCGTCTTATTTTATAGTGTAAATACGAGTATATCGTGGTCGAAGATTTTTTTATTCCATTCGCCTTTAGCTAAGTTATAGCTGTAATAGTACATGTTGTTTGTTAGGTTTTCTTATAACCAACAATTTGTAATACTTTCTTTTACTCTTAACTTCCCAACATAGTCTACAGGCCTATAAGTTGATCTAAGAGAGTTTTGTATCTGGATATATCCATATACCCGGAAGGTCAGTGGTAAAATCTTGCCTTGAATAATCTAACACCAACAAGTTAAGTGAAAATTGTCAAAAGTCAGTCTTTTTATAACCGAAGTACCATTTTAAAGTAACATGTATGGTATATGTACTTACGTACACTTTGGCAAGTTAACAGAACATTGGTTTTGTTTGTCCACTTAAAGTAAATGGCGAAAACAATTTCATAACTCTTATGGTCTGTTTTCTTAATGCAAGGAGACAATTTATAACACTAACAAAAAGTCGGAAACGTTTTACGTATTTATATGTTATGTTATGTGTTGAAGACTTAGAATATGAGTGAACTGAGATGGGAAGAGGCATTAGTAGAATAGTTGGAAATCCATCCCTGCATATCATACGATATGATAATGGGCATGTAAGGTCTAAAATATTTTTGGCAGGTTGTTCTGTTGGTGAAGAAAATAGGAAATAGAAGACTTTCAAGTTAAGATGATTCAGAGGATACTATGACGTGTAACAGACGCTTTAATTTTGATCGTATTAAAAACTGACAAAACATGTAAAATGGAGGTTCACCTTTTGACCGACGAGCGAAAATGTCGGTCAAATGACCTGTCGACCAAGTGACTTTGACGGTCAAATGGTGGTCCTGTTAAAATAGTTATCATTATTCATAGTTATTTCATACATAAACCTTTGCTTGATTTTTTTAAAAGGTTGGATCAATGACTTCTATGGCAAATGAGACGACAACTTGACAAACGTATAAGTATAATAACTTAGAAAAGAGCCTTATTTTTTTAAAGAAATGCTCATCTACTCATTTTTTTACCTCAAAATGGAAAGGAAGATAACACACACTTACCATTCTGTGGACCCCACGACAGCCAGAAGCCAGGGTTTGACTCATCAGTGATCCTGAACCTGTACTCGACGTAGCCTGCAGGCTCGTGCCACAGCATCTTGAGATCAGTAGAGCTGGTCTGTGATAGATGGACCATGGGACAAGTGTCTGTCACCTGGACCCCTCTGAACCTCTGCTCGTCTCTGTGTTGTATGATCTCCACAGTGTGCCACAGTCCCATCAGCTGTAACAGAAACAAGGAATTGAAATATCAAGTAGAGGTAAATAAATATAAATATCTGCTTTTATTATTTGTTCCTTAAGTCTGACATTGGACCCCTTAAAATCCTCTGGGGTGGAGCCCTTTTGACGGATCTGCACCAAACTTCACACAAACTATCCTTGAATAATGCTTAATGCCTGAAAGTTTCATTACAATCTGTCAAGGGGTTTCGGAGTCCATAGGGCATATACATGCATGCATACATGCATACATGCTATCTACTTCTTCTTTATAGATGCATACGTCATCATAGAATAAAAATGTGAGTAACATTTCAATGTTTTTTTTCCATTTTTTAAATTTTTTATTTGCCTACATAGAATCGTATCATGAAGGAACGGTTATTGAGTCAGTCGCGGCTTTAACGTATTTTCCTCAGAATCAGCTAAGCTATGTCGTGTAATGCCAAGCGTAGTTCCCGTTTACACATGCAAAACCTATAAATATCAATGACTGGTTCGGCCTTACACATGTAAGGGAGCCTTCTGTTGCATAACATTGGTTTCTCTTATTGTAAGACTACTGTAGTGTGAGTACAATTATTGTTTGATTTTTACTAACTAGGTCTTAAGATATATGCCCTAAAAATATGTCCTAATATGTAGATGTAAAGCAAGAAACCCTATATCTAAATAATCGTTACCAAATGCGAGACAAACTTTAAGCTTTACAATAAAATGCAAGGTCTGCATGTACTACTTTAAGTACGATCTAATATTTTGGAATGCCCTAAGGGACGACAACAATATCATATCCACTCAGCAAATCATAAACAATTGACTTAACTAAAAATGTCTAGGCACCAACGATTTCTACATAGAAAGTCGTACAAGTACTGTATAAACAAGTTAATGTTCTTCTTTTTGATACATTAGGATTTAACGCGCTTCAACTTCTTTATGATCGCCATTACAACCCTCCGCGTCAACAGCCACGCGAGTTAGCAATCGCGCGTTTTTGCAAGCGTAACCCAGATAAGAGCTATTGACTCGGCCAGGGGCTGGGCCCAGTCGGGGCGGCGGGATCCAAATTCGGAAGTGTCGAATCGATGTGGCGGCGACCGACTGGCGGGCTCCTCCGCGGGCGATGCGCCAGGTGCCCCCCAAAAATACTCCCCTAAATCCCACCCCATGTAGTACACCCTTGTATATACCCCTCCCGATGAGGGTCACTAGAGTGGAAAATGGTATACATAGTATTCTCGAATGGGAATTGGTTGATTAACTTTAACTTGTGTTTTGGTAGAATTATTTCTGGGTTGTTGAATCCTCAACGTAAGAAACCTAATATACGATGCACAATGGACGTAGGAAACTAGGAATGTCATGTAGTTTATAATGGACGATAGATGTGTGAATAAAAATTGTGACCAATTAGTAAAAAAAATTGAATAAGTGACCATTGTTGCTGCAGAATGTCTGCATTGTAGTCGTCTCTTGTTATGTTTTTAGTGTCTTCTAGTACATGTACAATTGTATGAACAAATGTCAAGGCAGTATAAATTACATATATGCTTTGCAGCTGCCCTTTTTAAATTAAAACAGTTTAATCCTTGATGGTTTGTGAAATATATTTAGTGAGGTGACTGAGCTAACTCAAATATGAGTGAAAGACTACGTATAAATGGAATGAGATGTAGAAAGAAGTAGTAGAATGAGTGTGAACGATTTGCACATTTCCACAGGCTAATTAGGAGCTGTTCAATAAATGAGGTTTTTTCAGCAAAGAGATTAATTAAAAACCAAATTATTAAGGATGTCTGCTTGAACCATCAAAAAGCCATAGCCTTCAGGGTCCATCCGGTGACATTATCTTTTTAGGCGAGCCCTACAACCACTCAAATACCCAGTAAAATAGTATAAAGTTTCCTCAGTATTTACAAAACTGTGTGGGTTCTTCTGTCAACTACCATATTTAATCAAAAATTGCAAACAAACTCAAATGATCAATATTTATAGACTACTTATTTTTATGTTCGTTATCATCACCATATCAATTGTATATAAGTAATCCAGAGGCTAAAATGATTGTTCAAATTCTATTGCAAGTTAGTGCTATGTATCTTTAGTAAATAAGATAAGTTACTTTAATAATCCTATACGTTCAGTGGTATGTTTTGGATGTTATCATTAATCTGATTTAATCTGACATCTAACTAAGTCTAATATTGCAGTTTGGTTTATTTACTTAAATAATACATTTGGGTGATTAACAAAGTACTGTATGACCGAAGGAAGAGACTTTTCGCTCTAAGAGGTTTTAAGGCTGCAACTTCATAACTGGCTGCGCTACACTGCTTTCAGACGGAGCACATTGATCTCAAAACAATGCCATTGGTATGGAATTGTAAAAGGAAATTTAAAACAGTAAACAGGGCACACTTGTGTTAAATAAATTTAACTTAACGAAAGTAAACTTAATACGGTCTTCATAGATAGGCTCAGAACTTTGACTATATTATACTATCGTGCAGCAGCCATACCTTTTCCAGGATCAAGCTCTAGAAGTTCGTAAAAACTACTTCTTGTCACATTGTCCTTCAAAATTAAATAGCCAACCACCACAATCTTATGCAGAAGTGTGCACTGCGTTCGCCCAACCTCTATTGTATTAATTATTGTTTTTAATGTCAGACGACTTTGCAGTTCACTATTTGGTTTATTGTGATAATTTCCTGCTTTGACTTGGCTTGTGTTTTATTTATATTCTCACTTGATCACGAGATCAGAATCCAGTTAACGAATCATAAAAACTCATTTTCGTGGCAGTAAATTCCGAAACAATCCCTCAAACATAAACTTATCAAAACCAAAAACTTCAAAGGATTCCAGTGTGTTTGATAATGCGGTATTTGCAAAAATCCCGAACACATGTCACCGACTGTCCAGTGTCCGTGGTAATCTCTGGGACATTTGTCTCCCGTTGACAATGTTGGACCAGTCCCAAGCCAAGGGTGCCAAACAACACCCCCCCCCTCGGGGGACAGGGGTGTGACCACAGCCAGCCTTGGACACAGCTTAATGTGACCGATCAACACTTCTTTCATTGCCAGTGGAATACTTTTGTTTTCGATAATAATTGTTTTATCACTACATTGAATATAACTTTCGTGGTTTAGCCAGTAGCGAACTGTATGCAGTATTTGTGGTTATTACATAAATAAATAGATGTAGCATGGGTTGTACGCCTACTTTTACAAGTTTTGATTTGTAAATTAATTTTATGGTTAGCTAGCCATCTATGAAATGAAACTTTCAAAGTTTTGTAAATCAGAAATATGTATAAGTACTTTGTTTGAATTTAGTATTTGACGATGAGTTCCAGATCCCTCAACGTCGTGATATAGCTTGAACTTTAAACCTAAAAAACCAAAACCAATCATAACTTAATTTTAAAAGCGATTTTGAAACCAACAGCAAATAAACTAGCATAGAAGTAAAATCACCCAATGCGTTGAATTGCTTCTATGAAAACATTTCCGAAAAATACATTTGTATTTATTTATCTTTTTAAAAGAGCCACTATGACGAATATATTAAAATACATTTCACCACTACGGCGTAAAGTGACTCTTTTTGACCCGAGCTCAAGTTTTACGATCCAGCAAAGCAGAGGTCGGAAAATGAGTGAGGGTTGAAAAGAAACTTTTGTTCGTTATATTCCAACATGTTTTAATCAAACTTCGTTAAAAAATGACAATTCTACTTACTACTATTGAACTTCCCATGTAAAAGATAACCTCTTACAACTTCCAACTTGTTTTTTTTTATTTTTCAAATGTAAACAAGCAGCATTGTTTAAATTTTTTATACATTTAAGTATATTATTATTTTTATAAGTAAGTGATTTTTTTTCGTCTGTTACGTTTGTGTAAGTGTATATTATACTTTCGATATTTCGAGTCGAACTATTGACAAGAAGGCAGCAATAAAATACAATCTACTTAACAATCGATACCTACTTTTGATACATGCGATTCTTTACAATTCGAAATTTACATATGAGTTTACAACAGCTGTTTTTTACTCCCTAGGGGCTAAACACTATTTTTACACCCTAGAGAGTAAAATGCTACTTTAGGCCAGCAAAATATGCATTTAAAACGGCTGTTTTTGCTGCAATATGACAAAAATATTTTTCATCATATAAAATATTAAAAAATAGTTAAAATAGTTCTATATTAATTACTATTTCATCTTATATTATCTGGGACGAAACTTACTGTTTCATTTCGTCAAAAACGTCCAAGCTTTAGTGGTAAGCATGATGAATGGCCGAAATGTTACTTGAAATACCGTAAGATTTGAAGGCAAAATCTACAAAACAGCTGCAACCTGAAAGCTGTCTACCTACAGAACGCTTACAAATTAGTGACTTAGGTTTTTGTTTCTATCAGTAAAGGCAAAAACGTAACGTTAAACAGCGTAGCAAGAAGAATTTTGTCATGTTGGTCTGTCGTAAGTAAAACAAGTAAAGCTTGCGTGCAATCAGGACACGCAATTAGTAATTACTGTAAAAACACGCATATTGCAAACATAAGAACTCACGACTTGAGCGCGCAGTAAACCTGGAAAAATCATTCCTCTCTGCATCGACGATAAGGTTTGAACTGCAGGTTTGTTCCTTGGCGATTGCAAGTATCAGCTGTTATTTTGGCTCAAGAATAATGTAAATGAAAAATAGTGAAGACCTACCATCAAATAAGAAATTAGTTACGTTATTTTAAATCAATATATTTTCCATATAAAATTTCATTTAAACCGTCACTACGAGCTAAGATTTGAAATGTACTAAAAATATATCACGTATATTCATCGTATATATCACGTATCATTAAATCGTTTTAAAAATTGTCCCTGTAAAATTACATTTAAAATTTGTAACAGTATCAGGCATAGTTTATGGCCTAGAAAACAAAATGTAAAACGAAATAGAATGTTTGTAAAACAAAATGAAGTGTATGTATTTTAATTTTAATAATAACTAGCTGTGTATGTATTTTAATTTTAATGATAATTAATATAACAAAATATTGATAATGATTACCTTACAAATAAGGACATACACAATAAGCTACTGGAGATTTATGTAAAAGGTAGTGAAAAAATTTTAAATTCAAGAAGTTGAACACTAACGCTGCCCTACAACTCTCCATTGAACTCAACGAATGAGAGCTTAGCAGAGTACCATACGTTGTAGAGTCTACAAAGTACATTTTGGTACTCTACTATTTTTCTGTTATACAACGAAATAGGTTTATTTCAATTATAAGTCAGCCTGGTGCTAGCAAATAGATGCTAACTTGTTGGTTTTCATTTTGGAATAGGTGTACACACCACCGAAAGTTAAGATGCACATGGTTTTATTTAATTACTTGTGTTAATTACTTGAATTTAAAAATACCCCCGCCGCAGCAAACCTGCAGACTAAGCGAATTTCCAATTGCCTGATTGGATTTACACTAAATTGTCTCCTTAAAAATATTGCATTTATTCCCTATTTAAATAGAATCAGTTTAACACATACTTAGGTTTGCTGCAACAGGGGGGTAAAAGTGTTTTTTATGTATAATGTCAATAGTTAGTAAGAAATAAAAACATTTTCCAAATTTGGGCAAAATATGTCAATAAACAAGCAAACTACAACAGTTTACTTATTCTCCATAAGAATAACATGGGAATTTTAAATTTACAATTTTTTGGAATTTTCTCCGTAACCATTAGGCGCATTATTACGCTTCAATATACTAAATTATTTGTTTTTTTAAGCTCTACAAAATAGTTTAGAAAGAATTTGCAAAATTCTATGTTTTTTGGGTCAAAAATGGGAAAAACCCATTTTTACCCCATAAAAGCCCCCATAAACCCCCGTTCCCATGGTCCGATCATGCTGGTTCGCGAACTCGTTCGAATAAACGTAGGTTTACACGTTTGTACCAAATTTCATCGAAATCGGATCATTTTTGCTCGAGTTATCGCGTTAACGGACACATATATATATTTGATTATACATATATAACAATTCGACCTGTAGTAAACTTCATAAATTCACCTTCATACAAACTATCAAAATACTTAAACAACAAAATAAAAAATAATGTAAATTTAGAATCTGATTCTTCATTGAAAAACACCCAAGATCTTATCAACAAAATTAAAGATATAGATATTCCTAGCGATGTTTTACTCTTATCTTTCGATGTAAACAATATGTATACGAATATTCCAACCAAAGAAACATTATATATATTGAAAAGAAACATAATAAACCAAAACAAATTGAAAATAAATGAAATAAATGATATTATCAAACTTACAGAGGTAACTGTTAAGCAAAATTACTTTAGTTATGATTCGTCTTTCTATCTTCAAGAAGATGGTCTACCAATGGGATCTCCCCTTTCAGGACTTTTATCAGAAATCTTTATGACAGAAATGGAAAAATCCAAAATTATTAATATATATATATATATATAAATATATATATATATGAATTTGAACGGATGGTATTTTTGGCCTCTAGGGACTTCAAAACGAAAAAAAAAATTGGTCCCGTGTCCAGGTCTTACCATGAGTACTACGGTAATAGCTTATTCCCTATATGGGAAATTCGCTAAAATGAATTAACACAAAATCATCTTTAACCATTTTACATTAACATAGGCCTAGGTACTTTGAATATTTATGAGACGAACCCCTGAAGGTGTACAGCTAAAAATGGAACGTTAAGAAAGCAATGCGTTATTTCATTTTTAAGTCTCAATAAATTACTTAAATTACACAGATAGATATGGCATTCAAACTGAAAACAACTTAAAACCCAATAAATCATGTGAATAAACGAAACAAGTGACAGTTATGCCACGACTAGATATGTGTGACTGGGGGCGTAACCGGGATCGAGTTAAATAATAAAAATACTTTGGTGAGAGGAAATTTAAATCAGTTTGTATACATTTCAAGTCAAGTCTGGATTTTGTTGCTACAAAGCTAAAACGAAAAGGAGATGCACTGTGCAGAACATTGTTTTGTCTAATTAATTAACAGTTAATTGAGTTTCCCTACGTATTGGAGCGTTGTTGTGCCAGTGACCTGCTAGGAAGCAGATTATCCATGGGGTGCCAGGTGGTAATTAAAAGTGACTTAGGAGACAGCCTGGCCTAGATAACATGCGATATATTGCCCAACACAACCCTACTGCAGGGGTCTCCCTTATTGTTCTATAACTAGAGGCACTTTATGGCATATTTTACTGAACAATAGAACATCCTATATTGCTGTACTAGTGACGTTATTTGTGATAGGTTGAACTTTATGGTAGATGGTAAACATAGAGTAATTAGATGGAGGTATTTGAATTGAATTATGCTCTTGTAAGTATAGTCATCTCATGTAAGTTGATTTCTTTTAAAATTTTAAAAACTGTAAGTGTATTACTGAATTCATATCTCGGTTTTCCTAAATAGGCTTTCCTCTACCCTATTAGAGTGCTAGCTATATGATTGATGAAATGGAGCTCGTTAATGTGATAATAGGATAAGGATTAAAATATGAGAAAATTCCCAAAATACAAATTAATTACGATATGACTTTTTGTTGTTATTGATAACTTGATTAATTAATACTCTAATAATCCCAAATAGTCATTTCTGGTACCACTTATGATTTTTCTTCATTAAACGTGCGCTTTTAAAATTAATTTTTATAACAATTTCTAGATAATTACCATTCAAAAATATAACAACATGAAGCTGAAATTAATATTATTTGAGTCACAAATTAATGCTTACACTACAAGTGTACAAGCTGTCGCCCGTCGGCTTCGCCTGACATTCTTTTTTTACGGAGCGACTCTCTAGAACAACCTGCATAATGTTTTCCCTAAAAATGCTATCCCTGTTCCATCTCCTTTACTCATAATTATACCCTAAACCAAATTCACCAATGATACAGTTGGTTTTCTCACAACTTTATTAAAAAGTATCGGATAGTCTATCTTAAAGTAACATTAGGTAACACCATTGACTATGCATAGAAACACTGAAACTATATTGACATAATGTTCTCTGCCACGTTGTTCTTTATACATTTTTATATAATTTCAAATTTATATAAGTAGGTTTTCAGGAATTCATTCTATTTCATTTGTTTCAAACTCGCACCAGTATTGTATGAAATCATTGACTAAGGAAATAAAAGTTGTTTCCTTTGTTTCCCTTGTCTGTGATGAAATTTAATTTTACTTGTTGTAATGTTGTTTTCAAGATAGTAAGTACAATCTGATGTAAGTTCAATAAACACGTAAATATGGAGAATTGCATTTGCCATTAATTACCCAGTTTTATATGATATTCTGTAAATTTCCATAAAATACAAGACTTTTATAACTTTTATTGAGATTAAATAAAATTTTTGTGTAACTATGATTGCATCAAAACAAAGCACATATTTTTTGTATAATTGTCCGTGTTTCAAATCCAAACGATGAGCTCTCTTTATCATATTCCGGATTGATATCTGACTCAGTTTACTACTTAGGACTTAGTCCGCCTATTTAGAGATAAGTAGGAGAGATTTAACTTGCATCATAGTTTTATTTACTTTGAAGTATTGTTAGAGCCCAACCTAGAGTAATCGGTTTTACGAATGAATTCCATATTACTTACATAAATTGTTACTAACCATGAAACTTTTACCTACAGCAGTTTAAACAGTTGTTTCAAATTGTAGACCCCTAATTTCTCGCATGATTTTAGATTTGTGATATTAACTAAAAGAGCCCTTTAAAATGACACGTTAGCTATCTTTTATAGTGCATGTGCCAAATCTCGCTTAAATTTTTAGACTTGTCGTAATGGGTTGTTCGGTTGTTTTAGGATTTTAACCAAGGGGTCTGATATATACCTTATTGTTAGAGGCTAGTTTCGACAAACATTTACTGTTAGGGTATCCATATCATGTTTAGGAGTTCATGAACATTACAGTGAAGTAGGCCTAGGTACAGAAAAATAGATCTATAACGTCCTTGTAAGCAAATTTCTTTTAGGTTATAATAATTTTATTAAAATAATCATTGATATCATTTTCACCCACTGATTAGTGCGGAAAATGTTCGCAATAATTGTTTGGACATCATCCAACTGTATCTGCTATCAAAAATTTGAATTTCACAGAGTAACAATTGCATTTAGTTTTAGCCTTTTTTTCAAATAAAATGTCTCTTCTGCTTTAAAATCACCAGCATTCAAAACGGGTTCTAAAAATCAGAGGATATAGAAAAAAACTAAAAATACCGGTACATGGTACTAAACTATCATTTCATATGTTAGTACCATGAATAAAGAGGCCAGATTGAGCCCTTGTACCGCAGTTTAAGTTCTTCAAACGTCATTGGTCATGGGTCCATACTTGATTTATTGGGCTCAATCAATCAGTCATGCTCAATGAAATAAATAAGCAATGAAATAAATGAGCAATGTATGGAACTATCCCTTGAAAAAAATCGGAGAAATGTCAATTTCTGAAACACATACAAAATTAAATCGTGTCTTCCTACACTAAGTACTGAGACTCATCTCCTCATGTTTGTTATATTCTAAATTCTTTTGTAAATTTATTTTGAACACGGCATATTAATTGGTTTTTTTTTAGGTTAACCGAAAGAAAGGCCCACGAGGTTCACCTCATTATTGAAATTTTTCATATTATTTATCATTATTTTTCATTTAACATGCAAAAATTGATATCTGAATTCATTACCGATTCAATGCTCCCAATGACGTTGCGGGTAGGGTGCATGTTGCACACGTTGGGATCAACGGCACCCTTCTCCTCCGATCCATTCCACTCCTGGGCACCACAAGACACCACGAATAGCACAAACACCTTCCACCACATTCCGGACACACAACACACCACAAACACAAACACGCGTTTGTAACAATAGACGCTATCTCGCGGAGGTTATCTATGAATAACGACTTGTATGATTAGTTCGGTTGTTTTCAGGCCTCGAATGAAGATAATAGAATATTAGCTGAGAGCGGGAGGCGGTTCAAAGTCACTCCGAGCAGTCGGTCGCTTCTCAACTAAATTAAATCGACCTTAACCTCGCATTAACCAATGGACATCATTCCGTCTGATAGTGGGGAGGCGAATGGCCAAAATTCCAAAGTTGGCTCACCCCGAAAGGTAACCGGTGAACACTATGCTAGATGATATTGTATAGTAGTAGAGATGATATTTTGACCGGTGTTCACACTGTATGAGTGGGACTCTCTTTTCTGGACGCCTTTTTCCAAAATGGCGGATGTCAATGTTTCATCTTTGTATAACTCGAGCAAAAATTATCCGATTTTGATGAAATTTGGTATAAACGTTTAAAATGACATTTATTCAAACGAGTTCGGGAACCAGCGTGATCGGACCATGGAAGCGGGGGTTTATGGAGTGTTTATGGGGGGTTTTATGGGGTCAAAATGGGATTTTCTTATTTTTTGCCTCCAAAGCACAACATTTTCCAATTTCTCTCTAAACCATTTTAAAGAACTTAAAAAAACAAATAATTAAGTATATTAAAGTTTTTTTGTACCCTTATTGGTTACGGAGAAAATTCAAAAAGTGTTAATTTAAAATTCCCATGTTATTCTTATGGAGGATATTGTCAACTCTTGTTGTTTGTTTATGGATATATTTTGATCAAACTTGGTAAACTTTTTTATTTATACTAATCTAATAATATTCCTCAACATTAACACTTTATTAGCCTCCCTGTAGCAGCAAACCTAAGTACTCGTTAAACCTAATGTCATTTAAATTGAATTTATTTAAAAACAAATCAGAATTGATGTTGTCTTTGATAGCTATAAAAATAATTCAATTAAATCTGCGACTAGGACCAAACGTAAAATCAAGAGCAACCCCTTATAAGACGTGACATACGAGATAGAAACGTACCCTTGCCACAGAACTGGAATGGATTTATTAAATCTTCTTGAGAATAAAAAATCTTTAACTAACTTCCTCTAAAACAAATTTGCTGGATGTATCCTCTAAGAAAGTAAACCCAAGCAAGATTATAGTGACAGCTGGTGGCTACGAACAATGTGATAAGGCTACTTCCACATCTGGGGTTCCGTTAGATTCATTATTTTCAAACCACGAAAAAGCAGATACGAGGATCTTGCTCCATGAAAAATATGCCGCTAATAATAATGGTACAGTCGGATAGTTGTACAATGCAAAGATACAGGTTCGCTAGTTTTGCTATTGAGCATGTCTCAAGAAATTAACGTAGATGAAATATGGATGTCACAAGGAACATCATCTAACAAAATATTTGTCCCTGTGCATACAATATTCTCCAACTGATGTCCGAGAATCTATTATTGGTTTTCACTCGATAACTACTGGTTGTAACAAAACCAGTCAACCAAACGGCATAGGCAAGAATACTGCATGAGAGGTTTATCTGAAAAATCCTAAATTGCTTGCAGAAAATGGAGTTGGAACATTATCAGATAATATTATGTTATTAATCAATTTATGTTAATTGGTGTTATTAATGTTAAGATCAATTGACAATCAGATCGGCTGAAGATTTTTTTATTCAAATTTACTCACGTCCTCTCCATAATACAGAAACCTTTAAATCAATCAATGAACTTTGAAAATTACAGTTTGGAAAGAAAACACCAGCAATGCCCCCCCCCCCCCTACAAATGCTTCATTGAAGCTACACATCCAACGTGCACATGAGTGTGGAAGAAAGCACTGGAGGCTTAGCCTGTGTTGCCTGATGTACTTGATTGCGGATGGTACGACGATAATGGTGAACTAAAACCTTCCATTTACACCTAAAAGATCCGTTTACATCCACATACAAACAGCTCTTGCAGTGCGGATGTACTACAGATGGTTCTCGATCTAATTGTGTGTACAGTAAACAAGCTACCATTTCTCAAAGCAGGGTGACCACATTCTGGAAAGTCAGGGATAGTCATGGAAAAAAATTCTGGTCATTGAAAGTAATGGAAATAGGCAAAAGGTCATGGAAAGTCAGGGAAATCCCCAATGATGGATGGATTTGAGGGAACTTTTCAATGCTCCTGTCGGCCGTAACCCCAACTATTTCAGCATTTTTCAGGATTTCTCACAAATGTATGACAACTCAATTTATTACAGTTGTATTAGTTTATGCTTTTTGAAAAAATGACAAAGGATAGAGAACTTGGCCAGCTATGGGGACGGCGAAGTATGGGCTTTCTTTTTTCCTTCCATACTTTGAAGGCCATATTTTTAGCAAAATGTATTACTCCATTGCTTTCTGTTAATACATATTTCAGTATATTCTGTGAAATAGCTTGTTTAGTCAGTATTATTCGTGTGTGTATGAATATTATAATTTTCAAGTAAAGTTCGTGAGTTATGGAAATTGATGGTAAATAGTCATGGATAGTCATGGAAATGAATGACAAATTTTCTGTGGACACCCTGCAAAGTGTGTGGATGTTCTCTTGAGAAATGTAAGAACATATATTCAAACAAGGACGATGAGGAGGTAACAGTATAACTCTTGAATATATATTCTCTTGAATGTATACTAAAAGGTGAGTTAGACCGTGCACAAAGAACCTTTTACTAGTGTTTTTCATGTTTAATAAGAAGAAATATCATTATCTATGTTTAAAGAAATATTATTGTAAATAACTAATTATAATTTAAAAAAATTTATTTAATGTCACATTGTATTGGGGTCCATTATTTTAAAAATAGACGATACATTTGATATTATAGAAAAGTACAACGACCCAACGGGATACATTAGGGTGGCAGTTAAAACGGATTAATTTATTTGTCATGGAGAAAACCCCAACTTAAACTGCTTATATCTCCTGAACCACTAGGTTAAGGAAGAAATGTCAAGAATAAATACCCCCGTCACAGCAAACCTACAGACTAAGCGTATTTCCATTTGCCTGATTGGTTTTTAAATTAATTCAATTTAAATAACATTAGATTTAACGAGTACCTAGGTTTGCTGCTACAGGGAGGCTAATAAAGTGTGAATATTAATAGAACATTAATAGCTTAGTATAAATAAATAGGTTTGCCAAGTTTGATCAAAATATATCCATAAACAAGCAAACTACAAGAGTTGACAATATCCTCCATAAGAATAACATGGGAATTTTAAATTAACACTTTTTGAATTTTCTCCGTAACCAATAAGGGTACAAAAAAAATTTAATATACTTAATTATTTGTTTTTTTAAGTTCTTTAAAATGGTTTAGAGAGAAATGGAAATTTTTTTTGCTTTGGGGGCAAAAAATTTGAAATTCCCATTTTGACCCCATAAACCCCCCCTTAAACACCCCATAAACCCCGCTTCCATGGTCCGATCATGCTGGTTCCCGAACTCGTTTGAATAAATGTCATTTTACCACGTCATTTTAAACGTTTATACCAAATTTCATCAAAATCGGATAATTTTTGCTCGAGTTATACAAAGATCAAACATTGACATCCGCCATTTTGGAAAATGGCGTCCAGAAAAGAGAGTCCCACTCATACAGAGTGAACACCGGTCAAAATATCATCTCTACTACTATACAATATCATCTAGCATAGTGTTCACCGGTTACCTTTCGGGGTGAGCCAACTTTGTTATTTTACATATTTTACTAAACTTGCCTCCCCACTATGAGTCATAACGCTGCTGTTTCAGCGACAATTAACAAGGTGGCAGTGTTGTTTTTTAACCTAGAATCTATGGGGTGGGGACTCCTTCAACATGTGATATAGGGGTGTTCTCATTAGAAAAAAATACGTTATGGAGGCGTTATCCTTTGAAATATAAGCTACGGGGGCTCTCATATGAAAAAGTAGCCTTTAGTATGAGAATGAGCAATGGGAGTTTACGAAGGTGTTCTCCTTTGAAATCATCCCTAGCGGCTATGTGAAATCTGCCTCAGAGATTGACAAACCTTCTCAAAACTTGATCAAGAACGTGACTTAATCATTCTACTTAATGTAGGTTTTCCTTCGTAAATATTGGAAAAGTAAATACACACTCCATGGCGTTTACCGATTGGTACATATTTCACTACTTAATGATACATTTAAATTGTCACGTGGCTTTTACAGGAGTTCTTTGATACACACCTATTCATGCAGTTCAACATAAATTAAAGACATTCACGTGGACATGTCACGACATGCTCCATCATGTTTACCTGGTCAACGTCGAGGCTGCGCTGGGGCTGCATGTCCCGACAGTACTCCACAGAAGAGTCTAGGTGAGGGGCGGAGGCGAGGGTGGCGACGGTGAGCGCCGCGACGCAGCAGCAACATGCCGACGCCCAGGTCTGCCAAGGGACGGCCATGACTGTGAAGGAAGAGAAGTGATAACAGAGAAGGAAAATATTTTATCTGTGGAGGATTCTCCAGAGAGGAAGATTGCGCTGAATGTGATGTGGGTGCCGAGGAATCTAAAGGAGAGCAGCTAAGCTATGTGAACGGATCTCCTGTATCGACTCACAGATCTATAAACTCAATACAAAAAAGGTTTACTCGGTGCCGACCCATTAATAGCTGTCCTACTTCGATTTTTATGCTTTAGTTGTCTTGTTAAAGCCAATGATCCGGTGCAGCTGCGATTGCGAATGGTAACGAAAAAGATAATTCCCTTAAGGCATTCACCCCATTGCGTTTAGATTATTTCTAGTGTCCACTTTTAAATATACAGTTATGCTGACACACTTTCTTGATAAAGGTTAAATGAATCGTCATCTAACAGATGATTCTTCAGTTGAATGTTTAGCCAATGCCAGATGGTAAACAAGATACTGTAATACACAGCTTCATGGAAAATGAAACAATACATGGAAAATGGATTTTAAATCAGCTATTTTTTTGTAATTGCAACCTAAAAAGTAGAAGAGCATTGCATTACTATTTTTACCTCGTTATGATAGAAACAATTCAATACATGAAATTCGTATTTATGTTATATAAAATCAGGTTAGGCTAGGTAAACATTTTCCCCTGAATAACTTTGATTTTACTGAGCT